CACGTAGGCAGCAGGGTTGCTTTTCCGGACGAATAGATTTGATGTCATCAGGTCGGGGTTGATAGGTGCCGTGTAATGACCCCTTTCGCACCTCAAATAAGCGAAGTAGCATCAAACGCTCGACCCTGCTGCTTGTGCCTATGATCGACGTGATACGTTCTTGCTACGATTGGGGCCGAATCCACGTAGGCAGCAGGGTTGCTTTTCCGGACGAATAGATTTGATGTCATCAGGTCGGGGTTGATAGGTGCCGTGTAATGACCCCTTTCGCACCTCAAATAAGCGAAGTAGCGGCAAACGCTCGACCCTGACTGGCGAGTCTGGCTGGTGGACAATCCGTCCTCCGCCAATGCGTGCTGCGCTCCCGGGGGGAAGATCATCGTACAGACGGGGATACTGGACCTCATCGACTTTGCGGTACAGAAGGGTATTTGTCATAGCAAGCATGACGCGCTTGCGGTCGTGATGGCGCATGAAATCGGCCACGCGCTGGCGAGACACACGGCCGAGTCGATGAGCATGTTGCCGTTGATGTATCTGCAGTTCATTCTCGGCATGGAGAGCCCGCTGCTCAAGTACATTTTCCAATTCGGTACGCACCTACAGTACCAAGGCGGCGCCGTGTATCGCATCCTCGTTGTGGTGCCGTGGTTGAACCAGACTAATCGCGTGCGTTGCACTTGTAGCCTTCAACTTGCCCTTCAGTCGGTCGCAAGAGGCCGAAGCAGACCACATTGGCATCATGCTACTTGCTAGCGCGTGCTACGATCCGTCGGAGGCCCCGCGGCTGTGGAAGGCGTTCACGGCTTTCTATGCGGATCCGGAGGCAGGTGAGGACGAGCTGGAATTGGATTTTGATTGGATATCGACGCACCCTTCCAACCGCAAGCGCGAACGAGCGCTGGACGGGCTCGTGGAGGCCGCGTTGGAGGTGCAGCGGCGCAGTAGCTGGTGCGCCTTCCTCCAGAAGAAGGTGTTGGAGTTTGTGGGTGCTAACACAGAGGCCGAGCTGCTGCACCACATCCGCGCTGCCATGACGCAGGCCCAAGCAGAAGAAGCCCAAGCCAACAGCACTGCAGCGCTGCGTCCGCGACGTCGAAATACTATTGCTGCCATTCACGCCCTGGAGAGTCAAGAGATGCTTAAGATCATCCTTGACGACGCAGCAATGGCGGATGGAGAGAAGCAGCAAGTGGCAGCAGCCAGCGCATAGCACCTAATCAAGCATACATTCATTTACACTCGTGTCTGGACCACATCTTGTACTACGTAGTTTTAATACTTACTAATACATAGTCAATCAGCATCGGGGAGATCTCAAACACGAGACGAGGCCTCCTTTTAACGCGTCCGGTTAGGATTACAGGCTCGCTTCGTGTGCAGCTCGAAGCTCGCAGCTCGCTCGGGTTCAACTTGCGCCTTGAACTGTTCAAGGCGCTCTGCAAAGCATCAGAAAGCAGTACATGGAATTCGCTGGCTCGATTGAGCTTGTCACAGCTTTTCTTTTTGGTAGTTGAAGACTTCTTGAAGTCGAGCATCGAACTCGCAACATGAATGCGTACATGTAGTAGAGCATCACGTATAGTACCGGAATGTTGGCACCTGCAACTCGCTATCGCAGGCCACGTACGTGGCGGGTCTGGCATCAAATTCTACTTCTCCACTGACGTGGCAACGGTTTCGACTGTCCTAGCAAATACTAGTAAATGTCGCTGCAGGCGCACACCGAAGCCAGCATGTAGTAGGAGCTCTTATATTATTCGGTTCAATTATTGTACGCATGGAATCGTCGACGCCTTGGTAGGGTCTTAGACCGTGCTCTTCCGTAGTGCGCTATCAACTTCTCTCGAGACGAAAACAAGCTACACAGCGGAAATAGAAGGTCTTGTCGGGGGGAATCTACAATCCTGCTTCGCAGGGCGAAAGCCAGGTCCTTGTGGGAGCTGCTGAGGAGCTGCGCTGCTCGCTTACATACTTGCTTTCGTTTATATAGTGGAAATGCGGGAGCTCGCGCGTGTGGGTTGTTGGTAGTTGTGCAGTGTGCTGGCATACTTCCGCTAGCACACCGAGTCCATAGCAGCGAACTGCTCTGAGAGCGTGCGGTTAAGAGAACAGCGCGAGACCGGGTGATCTAGATCCACGTCGTCGTCTTGCAGATCTTGGCTGTTGTTGCTCTTGGGACTGATTTCCTCCTCCATCTCGGGGGTCAGCTCACAGAAATACTTGCCGTTGCGCACGTTAAGAAAGTCCATAAAAATCTGCACAACACCGCGGTGCGTGCTGCACTGCTCGATGGCAACAGGCTCAGCTTCGCGTAGCTTGGTCAGTACGCTGCCCAGGAACTCATCGAGCGAGTTCTCGTCACATACGCGCCCTGGGCTCAAGGTGCTGCAGGCGGCGCAAATCTCGCAACGGTCGCTCTTAGCGCGGCACATGGCCCCCACGAGGCGAAACATATCGAGCACGCTCTTAAAGTCCTCCTTGCTCTTGTAGACCGACGTGCTCTTGCCCTTGCAGAACACCTTGACCTCAAACATCTTAGTGCCGCCCAGTGCGTGCGCCTCCAGCACAGTTGCGCTCAGCGTGCAGACTCCGTCCTTCATTGCGATGGTGGTGGTGGTGGCTACAGCAGGGATTCGACGACGACGCGGACTTTTGGCAAATGGAGGCAACAGCGGCAACTGGAGCTGCTCACGAAACGAAGGGCGGCCAGCGCGCCGCGCTCTCTTGCCTCGCCCATCGCTTGTACCAAGGGCCTAGTAGATCACTTGAGCTTAGTAAGGCGGACTCGATTTCACTATGCACCGTATGCTTGACATTTTCCACCAATCAACGTACAACAATGCAGACGATACATTCGCGCCTCGTTTTTGACACCTGCTCTGGCTATACTCCTGTAAAGAAGCTCGATCCAGCGCCAACTTTGCCGAACCAAATTGGTATCGACGTAGAGCCAACCGGGTTATTAATTCAGCTCGTGCTGTTAAGCCAGAAGGCATCCACACAATTGCTGTGGCGGTGGTGGAATATTTAAATTATCGTTTACTTAGTACGCCAAGAAATAGAAAACAATACAAAAGATGCGATGCAGCGCCATTCCTACAATAGCGGTACCGCGAACCGCCGTTGGGTCAACTATCTTTTTGGAATTCATAGCACAGTTGTTGATCATTCTGCATACTGACGGCATTGCCGAGCTGGTGCCGTTATACAATTACATGTATGGACCATACGATGGCATGCAACGAGAATCATTCATCTTCGGCGGGGGTGGCAATGTCGACGAAAATATCGTCCCCATCTGTGTGAGGCATCCAGAGCGCGGCTGCACCAGAGCCGCGTTTCCCGATTGCAGATGATGGACCGGCCCGCGATCCGCGAACTGCCCGGAGTGTTCCGCTGCGGCAAATCAGCTGTGTACAGGTACACCACCCGCTAAACAGTGCTTATTTTTCTGTACCGTACAATACATTTATAAAATTAAATGTTAAAAACATGGGCTTCACTATTTACAGTGATCGCGAGCCGGTAATTACAGTGATTGCGCGTGAGCTAAAGTGACAAATACTGTACCAAAATAAGTGGGCCTCGTACTCACGTGTCGGTCAAGACCTTTTTGTGGGAGACCTGCGTGAGCTTCCATTTTGGTAAGGAGTATATTAGTGGCTGTCACGGCTCAAATGTTTTGCAAGTTTCAACAGCCAATAGAATTCCTGCATGGCAATGCCAATGGCGTGATGAGGTTGTGCGAATAGCTTGATGAGGTGCAATTCCACACTGCATTGTCGCATTTCGACTCTATATCATAAAATAAATATGTGCGCGCGAAACTTAGAAGCGCTCACCTTGTGCAATTGCAGTTGACGAAAGCGCATTTAGTCGTCGCAGCCGTTGGTTGCTTCCCTACCGCTATTGCACCGAATCCGTAGCTCCATATCCAATAGTATCGGACCGATACAAGTAGATGTTACCCTTCAGTGCGATCTTTACTAAAGATTCTTAAGCGGACGCAGGTGGTACTAAGCCGACGAAGACACTTGACGTTGCAGCCTAGCTTGCGTTTCCGCCGGCACGTCGGCTCAAGTCTTGAAGTAACAGCACCAAGCAGCACTGGTTGCTTACTAGGGGAGCAGCAAAGATAACACGTCACGGCTGCTCTACATGAATTCAAGTCCATTTGGATGGAGCACCGCATTAATATAATAGCTCAGGGTTGCCAGCCGACAATCTTCTGTGGCTGTGAAGACAGCCTCGGGTCATAAGCCACAAATATTCATTCACCTGCGAAACTACAGGTACTTCACGAAGTACGTGTTTTACTTTTCTAAATCCACGCCAATATTTTCAAAACAGACAATCCTCTTTGTAGTCATACCGCCTTTATATCACTTTCCGAAGGAAACACTATCCCGGGTACCCTCGCCTTGATGTTTTGCTTGTTAATATATTGGCTTTCAATGGATTGTGCCCCGGCTCCAAACGCTGCACAGCGTGAGTGTGCGCCAAACCCTTACATGGAGCGTGGAGTTCTGGAACTCGTTATTCCCACACCAATCTTTTTGAAATACTGGAAGCACACGGGTCTTCAGAGCTGTCATAGTTGTGAATATGAAAGTCCTGAAGTCGCCGATGAGCTTGCCGTTCTTGCACACAAAGATCTGATGTCCATCGAAGAGCTGCTATATATAAGCCTTACAAAAGAGAACGTAGTCGTAGATGAATGGGTCGCAAGCAGGGCCGGAAGAACCAAAAGTGGTACTGGATTTTTTCGGGCGTAGCTCACTAAGCGAACAATGTCTCTAGTTAAGGGAATCTAGATCGTAATAGTCATTGATGCTAAGTACGATCTGGAAGCTTGAAATACTTTTTTAACTTGGGCTGAGCTCCAACATCCTTAACTAGAGGTTATCACTATTTGGGATAGAGGTCTGTCTTTACTGTAGACTCTACAGTGTAGTGCTTCAACGTAGGCAAGATCGCACTTCAAGTTTCAAGTTTCCATAAAGATTTGGTCGTGAAAAAAAGCATTTACAGCATAAATTTAATACTCCAAAGTACTTTACCGGAAATTACAATTCTTGAAAGATTGTTTAGATTAGCGGGTGCGTGAGCTGCAAACGAGATCTAACAATTGCCAGTCCAGCACGAGCAAAATGAAAAGGGTGCAAAACTGCGTTTTCTAACATTCGTGTCTGGATAGATACTGTTCATGCATGTACCGGTACAATTTATTTTATATTAATAAGGTAATACTTCTGGAGCATTGCGCTGGTTATCTTCCGATCTGAAGTCCCTGGCCTATCCAAACAATTGATCGACTTGCTTGCACGATTTAACAGCACCGTTGGATGTTTCTGGTGAATTGTTTGCTCGTGCGAGTCCCCGTCACAGTAAGGAAAGATGTGGAAGCTTACAGTCTGGAATATTTTGAGAACATGAGCTATAATAAGGTGAATTCGAGTGGGAAATTTATTGTCTCTACCGTGTCAATTGCGAATGCATACCCAAGCAGATACTGCATCGGCTCGACTACTATTACAGTACCGTAATGAAGATGTTCCTTGTTGCTAAAGGCAAGAGCAGCATATATTTTAGGCAGACGTTCCTCTTCGAATGCTGAATGAATTCTTCACGAGAGTACACAAAACATATTTGTCGTTTCGATCTATATAAACTCTGGCAAAAAAACGAAATATAATATTTTATGATTTTTCAAAGAGTTTTATTGCAAAAAACACTCTGATGCTCGACTGAGAACAGCATGTGCTTAGGCATACCCTGAAGAGCTCGATGAACAAACAAAGCGAACGCTTCATCCGTCAGTTGACGTTCAGCTCGGCTGCATATTGGGGTATTTCTTGTTAGCTTTCAGTTTCTCCACAATCGACAGGTGCTGTCGCCGTAGCTGCATTCAAGTGTTTCTTGGGATCGTGGTCACGAGCCTGGGGAACGATGCAAGGTGGATGCTCATGTTGGAAGCGTAGCAGATGTTGTCACGTTACAGTGCTTGCATTTTGCCTGTTTGATGTTGTTGTTATCGGCGGGGTCGTCAAAATGACCTTAAAGCGGCCCTCATTTCTTTGCCATGGTTCGAAAACTGTTGTGAGGCAGCTGCAATTGGTCCGTGAAGTATTGCGATGGCAGGCAAGCTGCTGGAGCAGCGCACACTAATCGGATTGATATTCACGCCCGTGGCTTGACATACCAGTGACG